CACAACGGTGGAAGCGGCGGCGTATATATATATCGTCAAATAGAATATATATATATATATATATATATATTGTTTGTTGTCCTCCTCTCTCTCTGTCTACGGTTTACCGGGCAGTTCTGTTTGTGACGATATATATATAAAAACAGTTTGTTTGTTTGTTTGTTGTTTTTTTTTTAAAAGGTCTTACTTACTTTTATTGGAAAAGAAAGGGGAAACGGGTCCGGCGTCCCTCACAAAATAGTATCAGCCCAAATTCCAGACCCGGCAACTCCGGCCGGACACAGATCCGGACTGTTGGGATGTCTCTCAAAATAACGACCAGAAAAAACCCCTGGAGTTATACAAAGCATCTACAAAACCTGTACCCCAATCTGTTGCACAATGAGCCAAGCAAAAGAAGACCAGCTAATTAAAGCCAACCGCCTCTAAGAATACATCTACAGCTCTACTAAAACGGTTAAACTAACGATCCGAAGGATGAAGTACAGTCCAAAACAGACTGTACTTCACCCTGAACTAAGACTTTTGCAAGCAGACTTCTCAGGAAAAGGATGAAATCTCACAAGAAAAAGGATGAAAAGACCAATGCAGGTCCTGACTGCTGTTGCACTGCAACTGTAACCAAATCCGAAAACTGTCTCCAGTGAGAAAGGAATGTATTCATAGATTTGGTCCGGAACCCTTTATTCACCACTTTATGTGTCCAATCTGTAACAATGGCCTGCTTCATATTATATTTAGCCTCTGCTCTTATCATTGGGGGTGTAAGCCTTTCTCCCCTCCTAACTGCCGAATTTCTGAGGGTCCAAAAGGTCCAAAAGACTGCACCCCTCAATGTCTCCTCTGCATACCCCAAAGGTCAAACAGTTGTTTGTCGACGAGATGCATTACCCAACAGAACGAAGTCATCTGACCATCTGGATGAGGAGTGCGGCACGGGCACTGAGTCTCCTCGCCACCACTCCTAGAAGGGCACAGACAACCGACAGTGGAGGAACATGTGTTGAAGATCCTCAATTCTCATGCCTTCACACAGGGCACACAACGATGATGCCCTTGACGTTCGTCTGGCACACCAGTTTGCTGTCGGAACTGCCAGGTGCATAATCTGCCATACGAAACTCGCCTGTTTAACCACTGACAGGTCCATCAACAGTTTCCAAAATCTAGGCAGCGCTGACACCAACCTCGCCACCGTATCCTGCACCCAACCAGTGGCAATCCATCTTTTGGCCACCTGCCATCCCACGTCGATCGGAGGGCGAGTGAGCTGATACCCCAATCTCGTCGAATATTGGTACAGTTCGAGCAGTTTCCCCGGGGACTGGGGATGTTCCCATGCCCAATCCCTCGGGTCCACTGACAAGGTGTATGCTGGGAGCGAGATAGCGAAGGGTCTAACCGAGTCCTTATATTCTAACACACAAATTGGTATCAGCTGAGGCAATGGGGGAAGCGGGGTCTGTTGATCCATCAAAGTCATGTCCTGTCCCAGGGACAATTGTGCTCCGTTGGCCTCCCATGACGACGATATCACCACGCCAGCATCTGTTATATCCTCTAGTTTCCACACGCAAACCTGAGATTGATCTTGCAATTGGTCGTGCGGTTGTCTATACCATGCAAAACTTGGACCCAGTCGAGGGGCATAGCTTCCATCAAAGCCGCCAGGAGTAGAGTTTGATGTCTAAGGTCTGAAAGTTTTTGAGACATCTGTTCCGAAGTTTTCCAGTGACTCGATTCCAGATCCCAGATATCAAACACAGTCCCTACCCCTCTAGACAACCAAGAATCCCCAAATGCTCCTAAACCAAAACAAGCAAACGGCAGACCATTCTCTGCCAAAATCATCTGGTTCTCAAACAACGGCTGGGTGAGGATGCGTTCCGTAACCAACGGGGGCGGACGCAGCGTCGGGGCACAATTTCGCCATGCCCGCAGAATACCGCTCCACACTCCATCCGGCAATTTCTTCCTCAGGTATGGTGCGAAAAATATCGCTAACCACACGCAACGATCATCATGCCATTTCCAAGCTCTGAGCAAAAAAAGGTCTGCCAACTGTCACCATGGACAAGACGGTCCTGACAGCAGAGCCCAGGGCACCCACCTAACCAAAAGAGCGGCAATTTGGCGTTCTGGGTCCAAAACAGACAGTCCCCCTAATCTTTTGGGTTGAGTGACCGTTGCCCAAGCGACTTTGACAAAAAAAACTGCTTCATTGTCTTCCTCTTTCCATAGGTAATGGGCCAGTATGCGCCTCACAGTCTGTATCGCCGGCTTATCCAATTGAAACAACGCTCTGTTATACCAAATAGTAGACAGAATAGAGTTATCTATCACCATCGCCCTGCCCATTAAGCTGACTCCATTTTGCTTAACCCAGGGGGCCAGAGCTTTATGGATCAAGGTGAGGACTTGTGTAGAATCTACGATCGCATCTAGATTGGAGGATATGCTGTGGCCCAACAATCTATCATGCTGGGTAGGCATCACTAATCTCATGCCCCATTGCTGCGGTGGTTGTATGTCCGGAGGGATGAGTGCCGACAATTTATTCCAATTGACTGCCGCCTGAGAAACAGAGCAGAACAGTTCCACAGAGTGTTGCAATGCTTGAAAGGCTTCGTCTGTGGGCGGTATGACTGCTACAGCATCGTCCGCGAACGCTTCTGATGTAAATCTAAGGCCAGAAGGCAACAAGATCCCTAATATGTCCACATTCTATCTAATACGAGTATGTAACACTTCCACATACAAAATATACAGGTATGGTGCCAAAGGGCAACCTTGCCTGACAGATCGATGCAACGTGATCGGCGGAGACAGTGAACCATTTACATAAACAGAAGACACACTGTTTTTGCACAGCGACGCGACCCCTCTTTTAAAGCGAGGTCCAAAGCCAAATTGTGTCAGGGTCGCCTGGAGGAACTCCCAACCGACCCTATCATATGCTTTCTCCAAATCCAGCAATATAATTGAGCATTTTACTTCCCCTGACAACACCAGTTCGACAATCTCTTCAACAATCATAGCGTTATGCAGGATCTGTCTATCAGTCAAGAACCCCGTTTGAGAGGGGTGAATGAGATGGGGCAGAACCTTTTGCAGTCTAAGGGCCATAATTTTTGCGAAGAGTTTGTACACAGATGGCATCAAGGTAATCGGTCTGTAATTACGCACGTTAGCTGCATCACCTTTTTTAAAGAACAAGGAAACGACACCGGTTAGCATATCTGGGGGCGGTGACGCCCCGTTCCATATGGCCTGAAATGTTGTCAACAGCAGGGGGCCCAGAGAGTCAGCGTATTTCCGGAAAAAATAACCCGGTATTCCATCCACCCCCACTTTATGCCTAGGCATCGCCCGACATACCCGCAGCACTTCAAACAGGGTTATATCTGCCTCTAAGATCTGGACTTGATTGGGGGTGAGCGATGTCTCTAATTTGGTCCACACGCTGTCATGAAAATCCGTAAGCAATTGCATCTCTGTGTGCTGCGCCTGTGATGCCAACAGTGCTTCGTAGAACAGAGAAATATTAGCCATTATTGTTGTCGTGTTTTCCGCCAATGGTGCAAGCGGGTCCGTAGGGTGGGCCATGGCTCTAATAAGTGACACGCGGGATCTCTGACGGTGTCCCCGGAAAAAGGCGGCAGTCATCCTATCACCTTTAGTAAGCCACATGACTTTGTTTTTATTGGACGCCGCTCTCAGCGACGGCAACACCTGTATTGTCCATCGTTGACGTATCGAATGAATTCTGTTCATCAACTCTTGTTCATCCATTTGTGACTTTGTCATCAATTGTGCAAGCTCGTTGTTAAGATCCGTTAATGCAGATGCTCGACTTTTTATCAGGGTCTTCTTAAGCAACAGACCTCTGTTCTTGACACCCCTGAGGCCTGCAAGAAGCCACGAGGCCGAAGACAGGAAGAGAGATCTTGACAAGGTCCATTCTGACCAAAAGTCTTGCATACACTGCATCATTAGAGTCGAGTCTATCACCCATTCAAGAAGGTTGGCTCTACCTGTCCCCGCCCTGATTTGAGGATGTTGATAACATTCCAAAAACAGGGGCAAATGGTCTGATCCCCCAAAGGGGAGAACAGAGCATTTGAATGTCAGAGCTTGAATAGGCTCGGACAGGAAGAACATGTCTATTCTGCTACGCGGCAAGTATTGTTGTTGGCCGCTAGCGAAGGCAAAATAGGTATAAGCTCTCAAACAAGGATTGAGGAGGCGAAACGCATTCGTCAATCCTTGCTCTGAGAGAACTGTGGAAAGCAGGATTGCGTCCGACGACAGCGGGGTCACACGGGGGGAGTCCAGTCCAGGCATCAAGGTCGTGTTCCAGTCTCCTCCCACCACCAATCTGTCCACATCCTGAAGCAACCACGGCAAGGATTTAAAAAAAATTATCCTAGGCTGCTGTCGAGATGGCACATATGCATTGAACACTGCCCAATCATCCTGTCCCATGTTGAAACGGGCCCAAAGCCATTTCCCCGCAAAGTCCATATAATAATCAGTAATGGGAAAAGGAAAGTTTCGAGAAAAAAGGATCGCGACGCCCCCTCTGGTCCCCACTGTTGGGGCCCAGAATTGTTGGCCTGACCACCATCCTAACTGTTCAGACAACGCAGACGCATCCAATTTTGTTTCTTGTAATAACAAAATCTGAATTCCTTTATTTCGAAACAAGGTTTTGATCAACGATCTTTTGACTGCAACCTTACGCGACCCCAACCCCCTCACATTCCAGGATGCAAAGCGAATTCTATCCATTTAGACATTTTCAGAGTCCCAGTCCGCACATTTAAGGGTCAAAAAATTGTTCGAGAACAGGCTTTTGTGCCAGGGGATACCTGCTTCCACCAATGCGAGCAAACTAGCATTCCAGCAGTGATAGATTCGAGTCTCGACGGCTGTCTGTCCGTGCAAGTTATGCATGAGTCGCCAGGAAAGCCATCTAACACCCGGAAGAGATGGGGGCAAGGTTGCCGACGGATTGATTATTGCATCGATGATAGGAAAAATCAGGATGTCAGTCCGTCCCTGATCATTAGTCGCTGTAAGTCTAATCCACTCCATCTCCGGGAAGGGTCTAATCTTGAATGTCGGAGATAACCACTTACCCACTTCTCTGATGACGACCTCAGACCCCGGGTCTTCGTGCAACTCAAAGTGAGGGATCATAAGAGGCCCATTTGCAGACACCGCTGTGAGGAGCTGAAGTTGGCCATCGACTGCAGTGAACACCAGCGGAACAACTACCCAGGGCTGGCCTGCAGCGAGGGCTTCTAGAAGGGAGCCCGGAAAAACTTGTGCTCTGGCCGGTTGGGCCGTCCTTTCACACTCCACCTCTTCATTTCTGACATCCTGAGAGTCGTGGCTCCCTCGCACCGATGCCACCTGCCCCAAGGCCGCATCGGCCATATCTGACCAGGGGACTGCTGTAGATTTGCCGTATCTGATGATGTTCTCCGATTTTCAGCCGGACGATCGTACGGTCCTGGTTGCTGTGTTCTTGGACCGCCCGTAAGTCCCTTCCTTCTCTGCACCAACTGGGACGGTATTTCGGGAAGCATCGTCTCCTCTCTCCCAGATTGTTGTTCCGTCGGCGGAGGGGCCTCTGTAAAACCTCCGTCGTTATTGGGGTCTCCGTGGAGCACTGCAACAACAGCCCCATCAACATCATTACCCTGTGGTAGAGGCAGGGCAGCAGATGGCTGCAAGGGTGGGACGGCAGCCTGTGGCTGGGAGAGCGAAGCAGCAAGTGGCTGCGGAGGCGGATTGTCAGGAGCCGGAGACGGGCCTGCGGGCAGCGGTCCAGGAGCAACCGGTGATGGCCCAGAAGCAGCCGGTGGTGGCTGCGATGGGACATTTCCTTGTGGCAACGGACCACCTCCCATGTTCCCTCCCACCGAAGCGCCTGCAGGCAGCGGTCCAGGAGCAGCCGGTGGTGGTCCGGGGGCAGCCGGTGGTGGCTGCGGTAGAACATTGCCTTGTGGCAACAGGCCACCCCCCATGTTCCCTCCCACCGGAGTGGAACCACCCACCGGAACCGGGCCGGCAGGTGCACGGGTTGGATCAACAGCTCGGCCTGCCACCGCCGCGTAGGACAGTCCTTCTTGACGGCCACGCTTGGGGCACTCAGTAGACCCCGTTTCGTGTCCATACCATCTGCAGTCTTGACACCACCGTGTGTCCTGAGTAACCACATCCACCCTGTGCCAGCCATGAGGAGATCGGAACTTCAAAACCTTTGATACTCGCGCTTTGGCTTGCGGGTGCAAATCTTACCTCCTGTTAACGAGCCTCGGTGTAGCCTTGTTCTTTTCCGGAGGAAAGTCTTTGAGCACCTGGCCAAACTCCTTAATCACTGTCGATTTTAAGAAGGGCATCGCCAAAAAAGGAACTCGCAACACCCTGATCCAAGAAAATTTGTCCTGCGCCTGCTGCCTTATCGCCACCTGTTCGGAAGGCGTTGCCCACGGCCGAAACTGGACGCTGCATTGTTTGCCATCCACAAGCGCATTGTCCCGTTTCTGCAGCGTATTGATTAACCAATCTCTAAGCACATGGTTCGGCGCCAAGTACGATATCATATTTGCTCCCTCTGGCTTGATTCTGCCATGAAGGTCATGAGCACAGGCCAAATCCCATCCAACCTCCATCGAGCGTAACCATTCCTCCTTCTTGACAAACGAGGTATCTGCACCGGGACCGTGGAAAACCACCAGAACTCCATGTTGTTTGAGGTAACCCACCGTCATGTCCGCCGCACGCGGCTCCAAGTCAACAACCACCATGTCCTCATTTTCATCCCGATGAGTCCTGATATACTGCCCCGCCTGTGCTTCGTTCTCCTCTCCCGTGATGAAACAGTGTTGCAACATTTCACAGAAGTCATTGGTTCGACGATCTGCTTCCCCCCTCGCTGGAGACGAAGATGACGCCATACTGCGAGCTGCGCACCACGCTGCAATCCAGTCGTGGATCAACCTTCGACAAGACCTGAAGCGGGTGGCAAATTATCCGTGAGAAAATTTTTCCGTCCACCAAGCATCAACCCTATCATTCAATTTCAGGCAGCTGAACATCCAACACTCGACAACTTGGACAACCCCGGCGATTTTGACCCGACCACGGCTGACCAGCGAACTATCTTCCTTGGTTCCTTGCTAACTATCTCCTCCAACCACAGCCGGAAAAGTGGCCGGCGGAATAAACCCTCCAGCTCAGCAAGACAAGAAAAACGATTTGGACTTCGATCTCACGGAAATGGGTCGGCCGAATCAACCCAAAAGTCAATCCATCAACACTATTTGAGATCAACAACTAATCAATCCTTCATTAAGTCCAGCACGTCTCGCCGTTGGCAAACTAGGCTCGAGGAAAAAAAAATTTACCATCCACCAATTGAAGCACCAAGCCTGTCGTTCAATTTCAGGCAGCCAACCATCCGACGCACGACAACTTGGGCGAACCCCGGCGTAAAGTGCCGGGCGAAATAAACCCGCCAGCTCAGCGAGACGAGAGGACAATTTCAACTTCAATCTCCCTGAAAGGGTCGCCCGAGTCAACCCAAACCTTTAACCCTTGAACAACTAATCAATCCATTTACTCCAACACGCCTCGATTTCGTCAGCTCAGTTAACTATGTCAATTCCCGATCCCTCTCACACCCATCAACATCAGCAATCTTCATTAGACCTCGCACCCATCAGTGATCACGATGACATCCTTACATGCTCCATATCAAAACCAGGGGGTTGCCCACTGGTAGGTTTCCATTAGGGTATAATTGGAACTTCCACACCCCGCCCGTCGACCACCCACACTTACCTCCGTCCTTCCCAGGTCGACCAGGAGTCCCAGGCAATCCGCGACGGGAAGCCTGACCGGGGCGAGCAGGAACCGAGGGGTTTCACCACCCTCGCGAAAACTGCCCCACCGCGCCCGTGCGCCCTAAAACCGCGCAAGGTTTTCAGTGTCCGTACCCGCAGCAGAATTTGGCAAGCAAGATTAGCGCATACCGATCTTGCCGAGCGATCCTCCGCTGCGCGAGCGTCCATGGGGCCTCCTGCCCTTCTATGGTATACTCTTAGTCAACTATACTCTTCTCTCAATTTTTCCTCACGCTACCTACCTACCTACCACTACTCCTAATTAATTGTAGGCATACGGGGCAACCCGTAGCATACCCGAGCCGTGTTTTTACAGCTTCTCGAGCCTGCAGGATACCGGCCAGGGGACGGCCCGTAGCACCTGGGATAAAGCGGACCAATCCCCCGTGCCTCCCCTCAGGCCCCTCCCCTACGAACATAGCAGACTCTGCTTGATGCCGATCGGGGGATCCAGTGGTCTATCTCTTGGGTAGCGGGCGCCAAGTAAGCCCAGGAAGGAAGTTTTAACAGCCCCTCGTTTGTTGTCCTCTTTTTTTTTTTTTTTTTTTAAATGACGTCCCTCTCTGCCTACGGTTTACCTGGACTGGTAATTAGCCTAAAACCAGAAAAAGGAAACGAGTTTGAGGGCATACTTGCACTTCTGGATGAATGTGACTGGAACTACAGCCACGTCTGGATGAATGTGACCGTAAACTTGTCCAGATTTCAGCGGAAAAGTCCTGGTATGTGAGTACACGCTCTGCTGGAGTTGGCGAGTGAAAACCAAAAACCAAAGATGAGAATGAAAAAAACGAAAACAAAAGAAAAGTCCACGGGAAGAGAAGCAAATGCCACATGGTGCGTGCGAACTCGATAGAAAAAAAAGAAAAAAAGAGCTCAAAATGAGAATTGCAAGTTTGAGGAGGTGGAAGGCATTTGGTTCGGCCGGTGCCGTAAGCTAAACTGGCTGATGCTGCCAGGATAACCCCGGGTAGAATTGTGAGGTCCCCGGCCTCGGATCATGGAATTGGAATGAATCAATCTGTTTTTCTTGTAAAAAAAAAAAAAAAAAAAAACTCGTATCCCTGAGAGCGCCAGATGGCTACCTCATGTCAAATCTTGTCTTTGTTTTGTTTGTTTTCTTTTTCTTTGCGCAAAGCTGCCTTCTGACTCGCGATTCTACAACTGCAACTGCAACTGCAACTGCACCTTGTCAAAGTGGCCCGCGGCCTCGCCACACCACTGTCGATACAAAAAAAGCACTAGTGCATCTTCCCCAAAAAACGTGGCCAGATGCATCTGTTCTATTCATAGGAAAGGATGCATCTTGCCACGTTCTGTGGAAACATGCATTTGAACGTTTTTCGTTTCTACAGTGGTGCTGCAATGCCCTGACTGGCCCAGTGGCCCCCTGTAATACCCCGGGGCAAGGTCCCACTTGCGCAAATTAGGAGATTTCTGTCGTTGATCTTTGCTATCTACGGTCAGTATCTCTTAATTCGTGCAAGTGGGACCAAGCCCCGGGTAACAGCACGATTCAGGTTTGTGTGAACTGGTGGTTTAGAGAGAGGCCACACAAGCTGTCTAAAACCAGGTTTTCGACTTTTTTTTTTTTTTTTTTTTTCTCTCAATCCTTTATCCGAGTT